TTGCCCCTGCTAGATAGAGGTAGTCACTGGGCAGAGCATGGTCATTCAAAGTTTAGCAACAGAGGACATATACCTGGAAGTAACACCCAGCCAAAAAAACGTGTACCCGGGTGTGCTCTGAGCCCCTTTGAATGGAGCCCAGGTAATAGAGGAAAGAGCTTGATACAGACCCTGCCCAGCAGAGCATGGGAGGCAAGGTATCTGCCTACTGGAGCAAAGAAGATCTTTGAGAGAGACTGCAGGTATCACCCAGCCTCATGGCAGGAGACCAGACCTAACCCAACTCGCAAAACCCCAGCCTCTGTTCTCGCTGCTATAAGCTTGACTAGCCAAGAAAATGCTCAGAAGCCCTCATAGCAGTTTGTTGATTCTAAAAAGCAGGAGCCTCTTATTGAAAGAGTGATACAGTTTCTATCAGGAAGTTTTAACCTAAGTACTCACGGAATTCAAATTGATACTGGAGTTGATCAGGGTTGTAATGAAAAGCCAAAAGCTGTGATTAAATCAGAAATTGTTAAGAGCAGTAACTGGTGTCCGCTACTTGAAAGAACTATAGGATGTTTATTAGGAAAGTCCAACATAAATTCTCAAGGTGTTCAGATTGTTGCTGGAATCATGAATCAGGATTATGAAGGAATTAAGGCAGTGATAAAATCTGATATACCATGGTTTATAAAAAAGGAAGACCACTTAAGTCAATTTTCGCTTCCTTGCAGTTCTAGAGTTAAAAGTGATGCCTGGCAGGAAAGAGTACTTGAGAAATCTGACCATCCTTCATCTCAAGGGGTCTTCTGGGATGCTGTTGTGGGGAAACAACAGTGCTCCCACATGGAATTAGAAATTGGAGGGAAATGGTTTTTAAGCTCTGAATTTGGGGTCATTTCCTTAGGGCATTCAGGAGGGCCTAAGACCCTCCGATTAACTTCCCCTAAAGCCAGTATGGAGGGAATGAGAAAAGTTGACCAAGACAGAATATTGCAAGATTGTAAAATCCAGTGTAAAAAGTCTGAAGAGCAACGTGGCTTAATTGAGCCTATAACCTTATGGGTAAACTTGGAGAAAAAAATGTCTGTTTGATAAGTTACTTCAAGAAGAGCTGAACAAATTTATTAAGAATTTTGTCAGTCTTTCAAATCCAGAGTGTGGTAAATTCTCACTATTGGTTAGCTCTCATAATCCTCTGAGAGCTGGCAGCCAATATTTACATAACGATGAAGGCTATCTAACTACTAGTTATACTGGGTCAAAGCCTAGCAAGTCAACTGAGATTGCAAGCAGTGTTTTAACATTTGCATTGTTAAAACAGAAGGGGGAGAAAAGGAATCTTATGTGTGACAAAGTTCACATTTATGCCCCCATCCCTCCTCTTCCTATTGCGTGTATGCCCTTAGACCACCCCCTTCCATTACTGTATTACCTATAGCACAACCCTTTCCTGTGATGTATGTCTTCACCTGTGATTACCGGGCTTGCATGTCACAAGACAGGTGGATCCCAAATTCAGGATGGCAGCTTAACTTTGGATGTCTTTGAGCAGGCCTGATCTGTTCTCAGGATCTCCATAGGAACCATTATCAGTAGGGTGTAAACCCCACCTATAGGAACCAAAGCAATGACTGCAGGCCGGTGTATTGTCCTTAACAGCAGGGAGCAGGGCCCTGCAGTCTGGTGACTGAATATCTTCAAAGAGGATGTCTGTAAGCATTGGTCCTCCCCTCACACTGGTTCATTGACCTGCAGTTCTTTGGACTTGAACCAATGACTTGCTATATTGTTTGCCAATCCTAGGATCCATCTGTGATCTGTTTTCTGATTTGTCAACCTTTGATGCATTTGCCTCTTCAGTCACAAACCTGACCAGCTGAGCTTGAAATAATCCACCTCTACAGTATTCCTGTAGATCCTAAGTTCATCAGGCCCTAAACCTACACTAGTCAAGAGAAATCTCCAGCTTAACATCATATATATATATATGAGAAACTTAAGGAAAAAAATACACATACATATCTTCACATGTAAATATATGCATATATGAACACAACTATATATCTATCATCTCTCTCTGTATGTTCAGTGGTTTACTTTCTAGAGAACCCATCATCCTGACACATTTGGTGTCAGGAGTGGAGAAACAAAGTTTTAAGGATGAATTTTCAATATTGATTCTCATGTCTGATTAGTTCTCAAGGCAGGAATAACTGCTTCTATTAGCATTGGTAAGTCTATCATTCTTAGTAAAGTGGTGTATTTATTTAACCTATGGCATGGGATGGCAATAGTAATATGTAAAATATCACCCCCAACAGATGAGGTTGGTGAGGAGTGAGATTTTAGGTGAGGCTGTCTGTTATTTTTAAACAATTTTTCAAGATGAGGAATATAGGGAACCCGTTTGGTTGCTGCTACTTACAATAAACAAAGGGATAAAGGTAAGAATTTCATTCAGGAATTTGGAGGCACAGCTCAAGCACTGCAAAAAAGACTTTAAATTTTCACTTGAGTCATGAAAGAAAGCCTTATCTTTTCTTGAAAGAGAGCTGATATTGAGACAAACCAAACAGTCTTAGAAGAGTGACTGAGTTCTAATACCACCTGAGTTCCCAACTTCAAGGGAATCGGATGTTAAAGTGGGGCATTGATCAGGAAGAAATGGGACCATCTCATGAACAACATGGCCATGGTGGCACAGGGGAAGTTACTCATGAGTTCACTAAGATCAACTTCCAATACCCAAGGCTGACTTGCCTATTCCTAGTTCTGAGTTTGCAATAGGTCAGCAGCAGAGACCAAAGCTAAGTTCGAGATATTCACAAATTCCTTGGGGAGATCAACCAAGAACTTGGTGGTAGGTTGATTACATAGGACCACTTCCATCATGGAAAGGGTGGCATTTTTTTTCTTATTGGACAATATACTCACTATATATATATAAAATATATATATATCTATATATATATATTTTTTTTCCTTGCCTGCACACAATGATTCTGCCAAAACTATCATAGGTGGACATATAGAGTAGCTTATTTACTGGCATGGTATCCTACACAATATTGCTTCAGATAAAGGGACTCAGTTCACAGCAAATGAAGTGTGGTAGGGGCCTCATGTTCATGGAATCCACTAGTATTACCATGTTCCCTATCACCCATAAGCAGGTTGGTTGATAGAAAAATGTAATGATTTCCTGAAGATACAATTAAGGTGCCAGATAGGCATATTTGGGGCAATCTTCTCCAGAAGCCTGCATATGCTCTAAAGCAGCATTCAGTGTACGGTGCTGTTTCTCCACTAGCCAGGTGGAACGGGTCCAGGAACCAAGGGGTGGAAATGGAGTGGCACTATTCACTAATACTCCTAGTGGCCTATTAGCAACATGTTTGCTTCCTGTCTCTGTGACCTCATGATCTTCAGGTCTTAGTGTCAAAATGAGGAATCCTCTCACCCAAAGATACACCGCTAATTCTATTGAACTGGAAGTTAAGAATGCATGCTGGCCTTGTTGGGCTTCTTATGCTTCGGGATCAAAAGCCAAAGAAAAGTTTTACTGCATTAACTGGTGTGATTACCCCTGATTACCAAGTGGAAATTGAATTAGTATTGCATAATGGCGGTAAAGAAGAAAGCGCTTGAAATCCAGGAGAGAACTTGGATGTCGCTTAACTTTCTTATGCTTTGCAAGTAAAGTTAATGGGAAATTTCAGCAATCAAATTCTGACATGACTAGTAGTAACCTAGACATATTAGGGATGAAGGATTGGGTCACCCCACTAGCAAAAGAACCCCAAATCTTTTTGGTTCTTCTTGAGGGCAAAAGGAATATTTTACATGCCAGTTACTGCCACCTGATCAGTTGCAAAAACATGGGCTGTAATCATTGAGAATTTCCTCCTTGTATATACACATAAAATATTTTTGCTTAGCTCATTTATAAAATGTATGATCTAAATGGGGTAGTATATTTCAGTTGTGTGCATGTGAGATATGTAATGGTAGGTGCAAGTATGACTTTACTACTGGCTTTGTTTGGAGATTACATATGGCTTAAAGAGAAGTGTACAGGTGCCAAGTCAAAAAGGTGGCCTGTTCTATTAAAGTTTTGTGTTAAGTTGACTGGGCCAGCATTCCCCGTGGCTTGTCACTTTAGGCCCAGGAATCCCCCATGATGTTACAGAACTCAATTGAATCAAGAATGGACTACACTAAGAAGATTCTGACTCAGGTCATTACCCTAATGAAATTGAAAGGACATTTCCTCTGGGTTGTGGCATAATTCCTATATAAGTGGACACTGTGGGGATGCTCACTTGCTTTTCACTGAGTCTTGATTGTGCATCTGGCTCATTGACCTTCCTTTCTTTGAACTTGACCCTGAAATTTTGCCTGCTGGTCCTGGAAGCCATCTGACCTGTCAACCTTGGATTCATTTTTCTTTCCAGTCACAAGCCCGACCTGCTGACTTTGGAGTGATCCACGTCTGTGGCCTCTGATGTCCCTGCTTATTCTGGATTAATTAGGTCCCAAACTACACCAGGCAGAGGAAGCCTCCAGGTTTACATCTGACCCAGAGATTTGACATTAGACTGGATTTACCTGCTTCTATAAGTGTATCAGCCATTTTCTTAATACACATCTCTCTATGTATATAAAGTCACCAAGTAGTAACTCATCAACCAAGCAGTATCTAGTTTCAGCCATTAAGTAGTAACTATTTAACCAAACAGACAAATCTCAAAGTGGTAATTAATCAACAAAGAGCAATTACTAAAAAGCCCCACTTCTGTTGACTCATTTTTCACAAATCCCTAAGTCAATTTGACTATTATATTGTTAATTCCTAATTTAACAATAGAAACATTTCATAGATGACTATAACTCCTTAGAGAAAATAATTTATTATATGAATTAATTTAATCCATATCAGTGTCAGAGTTTTAATCCGTAATAAGCTATCAAAGTTTTTCGTTTCTAAAGAAAGTGGTATTAGAAGGAAAGTTTACCTTATATTCTCATAGCAGCTAACTTCTGGTTTCAACCCTGCAGTGTGACGAAAAACTTTGTATATGATAAATCCAAAAGCCAAAAGATTAACCTGAGAAAATAATATTTCAAAAAATAGATCATTTTCATGGGGAATTAGACACATATACAATAAATAAGTAAGAAGCAAAAATTTAAAATAACATATAAACCAGAAAATTGACTTCTGGTTAATTTAGGCAAGCAAACCTGTGAAATATCATTGAAAACGATTGTTATTACTTTATTCCTGATTAGGTTAAACTCCCTGTTTAAAAACCTCTTCAGATATTACAATCCAAATTTCTGAATGATGAGCATCATCTGTGGCCAATAATGTAAGCTACATGCACACTAAAATACATTTTAGCTGGAATATCTTTAGAAATACTTGTGGAACAAATTTTGATTTATTAAATTGTATAGTTTCCTCAAGGGGAACTGATAATTCTATCAACCCCTTATAATTTAAACTTAAAAGAGAACTTGAAAGAAAAATAGAGCATTCAACAATGGAATCCATAATTTCTGTCGCTGAAAAATACCTTAATGTTCTTTCTTTTGTATGTTCTATTAACATATTTCTTAATATTTATGCTGAAATTATCTTTTCTTAGATTTGACCATAGAAGCTGTCTAAATAATAACTAATAAAATAAATGTCAGTAGAACATATATGAATGTGATTTATAAATGTTATTACTTATGATTCTGTTGTTTGTATTTCATACTATGGAATAAATATGGAGTAAATAGAATACACAAGATAGTTTGTCCTTTTAAGTTGACTGTGAGATGACAATTTTTCTTTTTCTTTTTGTACTTCAGGAAAATGTTCAAAGTCATACTTGCAATGTTAAATAACAAATCAATATCCATATTTTAAATACATATCTCTTCTATTAAAGCATGGAGCAATTGCACATATTAATAGTAAAATTTGACTGAATATTTTATTAATCTAAAGGTTTTTTTGAGAGCTATTTTATATTTGTCCTTTTGTTGTTGAGTGCCATTAAGTTGGCTTCAACTCACAGCAGGGACCCTGGTGCAAAACAGAAGGGATCGCTGCACAGTCCTGCACCGTCCCCACAGTGGCTCATACACTGGAGCCCCTTGATGCAGCCTCTGTGTCCGTCCATCTCAGGGAGAGCCTTCCTCTTATCACTGCCCTTCCACTTCACCAAACATGGTGGCCTTTCCCCAGGACTAGTCCCTCCTGTCAATTTGTCTAAAGTATATAAGATGAAATCTTGCCATCCTTGCTTCCAAGGAGCCTTACTTCTTCCAATACAGGTTGGGTTGTAATTAGAATTACAATAGCAAAATATAATTTTCAGATGATTCTTAATTCTTAAGAATTTCAGATAATTCTTAATTCAAAAGCTAGTCATCATAGAGTTTTTCTTTTATGGTGTAATGCATTGTATTTAGTTTTTCAAAATAAAATTTACTAATCAACATTATTAAAAGCAGAACAAAATAACAGGTCAGATAGTTTCACATTGTTACTTCTCCAAAGAATAAGGGTCTCATTAATTCTTCAGGTTTCCATTATTCCACTTATATCTACTTGCAGTAGGCTTCCAAGGGAAGAAAAGGCTTCAACAATTGCAGAGGAGGAATAAAGTACATTTGGAAAGATTCAGTTAACTATTTCACTCTGTTTGAATGCTCAGTTAATCAAAATGATAATTTAGCGATATTCAATTTTATAAATAGTCTAATACTTATGAAAGTCATAGAAATTTTCTATGTTTAGTAGTTGTAGCTTCTTAGTGTAAATTTAAAAACAGTTGTATTTAATTTAATAAACTAATGCATACATAGATGTTTTAAATAGTAACAACTATTAACACTTGATTAGCATAAGCAATGTATACAAACAAATCTTGGTGCAAAAATATCTACAAATAGTTTGTATGAGATCATTATACTAATGTAGTCTTAGCAAATGAAAAGTTGTGCGCTGAGATAACACAAAACGATAAAGCATACTGCTCCCTAGACCTACAACTTTTCTATGTATATGACTCATACTAACAATTCAGTTAAATTCTCAAAGGTTTTATTTTTAATAAAACTGTGGTTTTAAACACAATTGCTATTATCATTTTTCAGACAAGCATATACAATTTGTATATTCTCTACTACATCATATGTTAAAACCATAAAGAAGGGAAATGCAACATTCTTTTGAGATGATCCAGACCTGGAAACTACATCATTTGAATGGAAAAAAACAAATATTTACAGACTTATAAAAAACAGTTGTCCGATGAAACACACAATATTCTTCCGCTTCCTTGAAGCTTCCTTACCTCCCATTATCATGACCCCAGTGCTGCCTCTCACTTCGGGCTAGACAAGAGAATGTACACGGGTACATATACAAGACAAGAGCTTGCAGGAGCAGGACTGGGAATAGGGATATCAAAAGGGTAGTGGGAAGAGGGGGAGAGAAGGGAAGGAAGGGGGAACAGATCGACACATTACCACACACCCCTCCAGGGGGAGGAACAATAGAAACCATGGGGGAAGGGAGACAGCAGGCAGTATGAGATATGAAAATAATAATAATTTAGAATCTATCAAGGGGTCATGAGGGGTGGGGGTGGGGGGGAAGAGGAGCTGATTACCACAAGCTCAATAGAAAGTAAATGTCTAGAAAAGAATGATGACAGCAAATATGACTGATATAATTCATGTATGGATTGTAATAACAGTTATGAGTCCTCAATACAACAATTTTAATTTAAAAAAGCAAATAAAGAGGTGCTATAAACTTCTATTTCTCTTTCAAATATACCAGAAACATAAACTCATTTTTATACATTTTGTCCATTATGGTTTTATACAATCAAACAAATCACAAAGACACTGATTATATCACTCATAGTCATTGGCATGAATACAAATGCAAGGTAAATAAAATAAATGACTACACCTAGGGGTTCAAGACCAATTGTTAGTGAACACTTTGGTCAATTGGCAAAATACAGTTCACAAAGATGGTGTTCAACCTTCTGCTTGGGTAAGCGTTGACAGGTGTCATACATGCCTGTGAGCAGCCTTTTAAGGTGTAGTTATTGGTTCTCCCCTGCCCAGTGGAAAGGAGAGTGATGCAATCAAAAGACATATGGACTTATTAGCCCCACGGATTAATGGACCAGATAAACATAAGTCTCCACAGCCTAAGTGCAGAACTAGACGGTGGCTTGGTACCATTACCAACTGCTCGGAAAAGGATCACATTAGAAGGGTGTGGATATAGGTGGAGAAAACTATGTAGAACAAACCCAAAGTCATAAAAGGGATCAGGCTATTGATTGTATTGTATTGGAGGAACTTTCAATTCTAAGGTCTTCACTTACCATTCATGTCTGTAACTGAACGTATCCCTATGTTAGAATATTTGCCCTTGAGACATAAAGGTCACTCACAAACATGTGATGCAATTCCTTAAAAATATATCTGAATTCTCTCTCTATTCATATAGAAAGAAAAACAAATAAATCTCTCACCACTGAATCAAGTTGGACTTCTGACAATCACACATGTTTCAAAGTAGAGCTGTCTCCCACAAGGTTTTCTTGGATGAACTTTTAGAAGCAGAATAAAAGACCTTTCTTCATAAGTATGTATGGGTCAATTTCAAGTGCTCACCTTTCAATAAGTAACCAAAGGCTGAACTACTTGTACAATCAGGTCTGCCCATATATGTCTCTCTCTCTTTATATTGGTGTGTGAAGGGACTTCAAAAAGATCATGGAAAGATAGAATTAAAAGATAATGGATATAAAGTGGATTTTGAAAGCTATAGTTAGGCAAACATGTAGCACCTTATCATCTGATCTCCCTGTTGACTCATTTTAAAATTATTCCAGTTTTTCAATATTCTTGGTTTTTGTTTTCAATTGTGGTTTCCTCTGTTTTAGTTTGTCAATGTTGCTGGGTGCTTTTGTTGTCTGTTTTTGGCCTTTAACTAGTATATTTTCCTTTATAAGGAATACAGGATAGGTACATTTATAGAGAAAATAACTGGATTAATAATTTCCTAGAGGCATGAAAAAGGAGGTTAGGGGGAAATAAGGAGTAAACCACAAGCAGTACAAAAAGGAGAACATTCTAAAGTTGGTTGTGGTGATGGCTGTAAAACTCTTCTTAATACGATTGATCTATTGACCTGTGTGATGTGCCAATTACATTTCAATAAAACTATTATTTTTTTTAAAAAGACGATTGCATTTTTATGAACTACTGAAGTTCCTTGTATATGTAGATACATAATATAGCAAGCTAGCTAGCTAAAGGGAAGCTCCAGAAGACAAAGGAAAATATTATAATAAAATGTGCAAGGACGTATAATTAGAAAACCCAAAGAGAAGAACATGCTCAACGTATTTATGTGGAAAAAACTCAAGAAAAATTCAAGCCTCAAGTTGGAATATTGAAAGATTCTAGGGGAAAAACATTGAATGATGTAGGAAGCATCAAGAGAAGATGGAAAGAATACAGTCACTATACCAAAAAGAGGAATATACCATTTCAAGAGGATGCATATGAACAAGAACCAATGGTGCTGAAAGAAGTTTAAGCTGCACTGAAAGCATTAGCCAAAACCAAGTTTCTAGGAATTGTTGGAATACTAATTGAAACGTTTCCACAAGCGGATGAAGCACTGGAAGCACTCACTCGTTTATACCAGGAAAATTGGAAGACAGCCAACCGACTGTCATATTTGTATTCATTAAAAGAAAAATGACCCAATAGAATGCTTAAATTATAGAACAATATAACTGATATCACAAACAAGTACAATTTGCTGAAAATCATCCAACAACAGTTGAAGTGGTATATTGACAGCTGCTGCCAGTGGTTCAAGCTAGATTCAAAAAGGACGTGGTACTAGGGATATAATTGCTGATGTGGTATTGGGTTGAAGCCTGGTCTCTCCTCTGTGGGGCTGGCACCAATCCCAACTATGTGGACCGCCCCCTGCCCTCCCCCACCCCCAGAAGAATGCACTACAGAGGACAGCACTGAGGCTACAGCTCGGGGAGAGGGGCAGGT